GTCAATCATAATGTGTATACACATACGAATATTCACGCGAAAACATACCAATGCAAGATGAGAAGGAAGAAACAATGAAAACTGCGGGAAACCTAAAACAAAAGATACTTGGTTATTCATTAAGAACTACTGGTTTAATATATATTCCGTTTAAATAATGTACTTATAATCAACTAGTTTGCAGACATCAGAAATAGTTGATCACTTTGATAAAATTCTTTATTTTTTTTCATTTTGTATGAGGCTTAAGAGGATAAATATACACATCTGCTGGAGTAGATTATATAAGATTAGTGAAACAAAAACAACACAGAATGTACACATGCATGTATAGTAAATATAGGAGAATGAAGAATATATTTAACAGAGGCTAGCGTCGCAATACTTCATAATGGATTAGTGTAAAAGTAGAGTATGGGCAATTTGATAGATGATAATTCCTACTGATACAATTTGACAAGACATTTGAGTGACAATAACAATGCATGAGTCACATTAGTAGGTCAGGGTCAGTTGGGTTATCAGAACACAGATATCTAACCACAACTAGAATAATAGACCCTGCTAGGTTAAACAATCTGGAGGAAACTCAGCTATTGTCGCACATACACTTGCATAGAATCACACAATACGGTTAGGCAGAGTAAAAGTATTAAAAATGATTGTAGTTGGGTAGGGAAAGAGAATTATCGATGGATATTTGCTCAATGAATCATTAATCAATACATGCAACAGAGAACACACAACATCAGTCCTGGATACATGCAAAATTTCTATTGAAAATGGAAGGAAGCAGAACTCTGTAAAGCAAAATTAGGAATTCATGTGAATATACTGATATGATATCGGAGATAAATTCTGCTTGATACATCAAACAGCTAATAATATTGTATCTCTGCGTTATAACAAATAAACTTATCTAGTACGGAATCATAATGTATTGCGTATACTCTTTATTTGCAAACTATCCTTATTTATATCACATTTTCCGGTTTTCTTATAGAAGAAACATTAATTGCCCATTTCGAATCACCCTCAGTGATAATCAATTCGCGTTATGCTATTTCCTAACTCCAGGTAGAAATGAAACACTTTAACCACAAGTAATGAAAAATCTTAGAAACTATTCAGGAAAGTAAACTGTGATAATATAAGTCATGGTGAACAAAACAGTCTTCAGTCCGCGCACATCGAATACTGTTAACGTTACTTGAAAGATGTATAAATGAAATTAAGTTTATCTTAATGTGACTTAAACTATTTCCTATCTCATCACTAGTGGATTTTAGAAGACTATAGATTAATAACAAAAATAGGCTTCTATAATCTGGTTCTTTAAAAATCTCAAGACTCAAAAAGCAAAACACGAAATCAAGGTAACAGTTAATCAAACTTGGTATTACTCGCAACTAATAAATATTTTATGATATATCCACAACTAAAATTTTAAAGACTACTTGTTCATACGTTATTTTTTTCTATCTAACGAATGCATGGCGCATATATGAATATCTTTCACCCTAGTGTAGATTTCTAATCGAATAAAAATGGTCCTGTTGAAAAATAAGAAGAGAAATAATCTACTGAAAAGGAAAATTTTCGAAAATTGGAAGAATTTACTTTCTAAATTTATAGTTGGTAAAAATGTGTTGACTAAAACCATTTTCGTATGAAAGAAAGCATATTCAAATTTACTACAACATGTAGATACAACTGTATGGACAAAAATTTTATCACACACTTCCATAAGCTTATATGACCAGTCATACAGGCCCTAAGGATTTTATTACATTATCTTCTGCTTTGATAAGGAATTTACTATGAACTTGATAAGGGTATATTAAGATTAACAATTTCTTAAAATATACAGTAATAGTGATGAATACATATGTATAGATATACTAACTTGTAATTCATAAAAGCTACTTGAGATTAAAGCCACACAAATAAAAGTACACGACGCAACGCTTATTTGTGTCAATTTTTGGTTGAAAAGTTTCTACTCGTATAACATGACAACAGGCAAGTGTAAAGCAACATATCATTTTGTGGAAAAAATTTCTGTCTATTTTGATACTGTAACCCAGACTTCATCAGTACTTCCATCTACCAGCTAGAGGTTTCCATACACATAAAGACTTACACATTTCCTCAATTTATTTGATGCAATGAATTTCATGAATGAAACATTTCCAGTAACACTTGTTAATTAAATAAATGAAAACCCATATCACAGTGAAATTCAAGTTAGATAGATTTCACAGAAGTCCCTAGGTTTGATCACTGGTAGATTCATAGGTGCGGACTGTCTAAGAGTCTCAAACAAGGGTGAAACAGCTACCCGATACTCCCTATTCTCAGATAGATTGACTCTTCCAGCATAATCTTCGGATGAATTTCATCTCCATAGAACATTGTGCATATAACAGTTCACGGTTAAAGGGTTTTTAAGCTGCATTCGTAAAATGAAGAAGTTTTCTGACACCGTTTGTAAAGTCCACTGTTAGAAAAATATGTATGAAACCTGTGAAAAATGTTTTGGTAGATTCCTATAGCTTAAATATGATGACACTAGAATAAAACTACGTGTACAAATAAAGTTGATTGGAATTTATAGTTGTTTCAGTGATATAAAGCTGATCTAAGGGGGGAATAATGATTGCAGGGGACATGAAAGACATAGAGTAACTGATGAAAATAGGAGGTTTCTGATCATAATTTCCTGTCTTTATAATCCACCGCCAGTTTCGAAGTTTTTAGTAATTTGCGGAATTTATTTAATCTCAAAAGCTGAATAAAAAAGTATTTCACACAAATAATCAGTATCGCACCTTTCTGGAGTAGGAAATAAAGAATATACGTCTACATCATGTAACCCACTAATAGCCATTACTGTAATTAGGTTAGTTGTAATTGTTCTTATAGTAAGTTAATAATTATCGCCATTCTTTCGGGAAAAATATGGTGTTTTAAACAAAAACAAGAATATTTACGCTAGGAAGTAGTTCCCCTGGAGTGTTTTATATTGGCCTAAAACAGTCGTAAACTAAATTTTACTTAATTTGCCATATTGAAATTATTGGTTTATATGAAAAACTGTGTCTAGACAGTAAAGTGTTGCAAACATGAAACAGTGGTTCTTTAAGACACTGAAAGTTGTATTGGTGTTTACTGGACAACAGTAAATTGTGTGTTGCATTCAGATCTCAAATAAGTTTTTTATAACTCATGGTGATCAACAACAAAATTATGTGTACACGAATAGTCTGGAGACCTCTGTCTATTTAGTAAATTAATAAGGATTTTGTGGAACATTGTGCAAGGTTAAATATACAAATCAGGCATTCTGTCTAGCAGTAACCAAGAAATAACTGACTGTAGACCATAAACTATTTTGATCGCAGCGAGAAAGTTCCGAAGGTATGAAATTCAAAAACAATCTTGAGGATTCTTAGAGTTAGTGAGAAGTTTATCAAAACAGTAACTAATGGCTCCCAAACTGAAGTTTAACATGTGTTATGTGACTACTGTTCATACACATCTTCTAGTCAGAAAGCTCAGCAGACTAATATAACTTAAAACCGACATGCTTTCCGGTTTCATTAAAAGATAATACGGAAAAAGATTGTGAACAAGTTTTATCATAAAAGTCAAACCCTCAATACATATACAAATAAGTAATTAAATACAAGCTAGAAAATATTTAGAATTAACGTGACAGAAAGTTAAAAAAATTAAAACAATCTAATTTCGCAGATACTTAGTTTGTTAGTTCAAAGAAATTTAACTAAATGTTCTCCTGGATGCAGTTAAAATAAAAAAGTAATACATTTTCAGAACAGAATTAATGGTATTTGTCCGAAGCTGACAAAATACTTCAGATGTAAAAATGTGTTATAGCCGAAAATGTTCATTATTCATGAAAGCTTCCCAGTTATTTGTGGCGAAGCTTGTCAGAATGAATCAAACGAAATCAACTTTAGCCGGCAAAATCCTGAACTGTAGTAGTTCTGTGAGTATAGGTTGATTCACTTGTGCGCAAGTATTTCCATGATTGCCGAAAAATGATTTCATTTGAAAAGTGTTATGCACAATACCTATTAGGTGTCTGTTTTACATCTACAGATTCACTTGAGTTCAACAGAGTTTGCTGAGGAGCTTCTAAGAATTGTGATCTGTTCACAAGACCTACTCCCAAAAGATGACGACAGTCATTTAATCCCCAGTTTTAATGTACCCTATTTATTTGAGGCAAATATCTTAGTATTTACTAGACACTTTGTGCTTCTTAATTGCATAAATATTAATGCTGCTGCAAAATCACTGGAAAGAAATTTAAATGAGCATTAAACGTACTGCTGCATATTTAGAAATCATGGTCATAGCCCAAGATGTTTGTAATAAGTCCTGTTATTTAAACTAGTGGATATTAGTAAAAAGTATTTATTGAAACGGATTTTCCACAATAAAACGGAAAAGGGAGTATGAAACAAACTCACTGAGAATTTCAGTTACTTGTTGCAATAGAATGAAAAACTTCTCAATATCGAACATCACCTAGCTAAAGAACGATGCAAGTCATTAATGACCACAATGCAGGTTTATGGTACTGAAATGTCACTTGAACTAAGCTGTATCATAAAGCAAATCTGTCTATTATAGAAGACATGATGAACAACTAGGATCGAACAGTACCATAAACTGGTGGAATATGATCGTTAAACTAACTAACTGCTGTTTATAATCCATATACAAACCAAAGGAACTTACTATTGTGGTCATTTTATAGTTAAAACATCACTTATAAGATATCTGACAAGCATGCAGGCATACACTGACGACTGTGACAGCACAGCTGATACCTGCTTGCATATAACTTTTCAGCCTACTCAAGAGGGTGTCCAAAAGAGAAGTCCAGCATGTTTGTATGTTTCAATGACAGTGCTTATCAATGTAAGAAATATAATTCAAAAGCACTACAAATCATTGCATATACTCACCGATATAACAGTTCTAGGCAACAGAGAATCCCATAGGTCAGTTTTCTCACCAAAGACTGAGAAAAACCTCTGAAATTGTTACGGTAGATAAGTTCATACAAATTAATGTAAAGTAATTCAAACACCATGCATACATGACCTCTGAACATAAAGTGATCCAGCAAGTGCACAACATTGTATTCCCCATCATTTTGCTGAGCGTTGAGAGCTTTGAGTATTCGAATTTCTTCAACGGCCTGTCTCGTAAATCTAGCTTCACTCTTAACAATTTTAACTGCAACCTGCTGTTTGGTGCAGTGATCTATTGCATGGACAACGTGGCCAAAACTCCCTTTGCCTAATGGCTTTAAAACTTCATATCGATAAGCCAAATGATCGTTAGAAACAAGAATATAGCTGCTTTGTGCATCATCGAAGCCATTTACGTTGTTTGACGAAACCATATTACCTCTTCTGTAAGACAGATCATTTATAGAATTTGTATGTGGATATCTTTTAGCAGCGCTAAGACCAAGGAAATATACTTCAGGATAGTCCTGGATTTCTTTACGTTCATATTCAGTCAATTTTGATCCATACAAAGTGACAGCAAGGTTTCCTGACATACAGCAAGAACCATCATGTGATATTTCATTTTGTGGCTGAAGGACTTTCGATAACCGCTTATGTACAGAGTCACTATGAATTTTGCCATTCGGTTCTATGTCGTTTGTTCTCCTTAAACGATGGGGTTTTACGTGAATTATTCCTGAAGCTTCGTGATCTAATGAATTATAATTATTTGGATTGAAATCTCTTCTTTTCTCTACTTTCAGACTTCCGCCATTAACCAAGTCTGGAGAAATAGTATAGTGGTTTACTTCTGAGTGTTCTGGTGATGCGACTTTATACTCTATCCTGCAGTCACGGTTTAGCGCAGTCCCGAAAATATGTCGTCGCTGAATATCTTGTTCGCGGTCAAAGCCGTTGGAATTGGAAGACGTTTTGAAGTCATTGTTAGGACCGGACTTCGGAGATTTTGTAGTTAAATGGGAGTACCGATTTGCTATTATTTGCCTCTCTGGTGACTTATACAAGTCACGAAGAGATCTATTACAGCTTCCATTATTAAGGCTTAAAATGGATGGGCTTAAATAATTTTTTGGTGCTTGATTCAATATTCTTAGTCTTCCAGAAGATGAATAACCGCCTAGATTTTGAGAACTTCCTCTATGAGGAAAGTTATATGAGGCACAAATGTCGGGATTGAGAAAACTACGCGGGTTCGGTAGTACAGAAGGTTCTTCGTATACGTGATTGTTACGCCAGCCAGCTCCTGTTAAATTTGAAAGACTCAAGTCCCGTGAATTTCTCTGACGAGGCGAGCAGGAGATAAAACTAACTCTATCTGTATAATACGAATCACGATATTTTGGAATAGAAGGATATTTATTTCTTCTGCAGCTGGAACCGTAATATTGCTCCATTTCATGATTCCCATTTCTCACATATCTTGGAGAAGCGACGACAGACTCAACTGCATGCATTTTACGACTTTAAAAATGTGAAGACAAAAATACCATTTCTAAACAAATTCAAAGAGCGCAAAGTTGTCAAGGTTGATTGTGCTTGAAACCTCGTGATGCAAGTAAACACACATGGAAACTGTTAGGGATCCCAAATTGAATTTAATTCACTTATATTCTGAAAAGTAAAATGAATAAAGAGAAATTAGAATGAATTTTACTATTCAGTGTCACTGGTCGCGATAAGAATATGTCAGGAATCTGTAAACATGAAAATTACAAGAAAATGTGGGTTGAAAAGTGACCATAAAACCTTGACTCAGACGTTGCAGTCCACTTGCACCATTAAATATTTTGATGATTTCTAAGCATTAGCTCATTTTCATTTGTTTTGTTTATGAAGGCAGTTTTCACAGTATAAGACATCTGGAAATAGCTGTCATAGTCAGAGATGTTCGTAATGAGTCCTGTGATTTTCACTGATGTATATCACACTGATGGCTTAGGAGCTTTTGCTGTAAAAGCTTCCTTCATGGCATCACATTTCAGTTTGATATATGTGCGAAGAACGATTGAAAAGTTGTGTTTCCTCGTAAATGCTTTCTAGATGAGTTGTCTCAATGTAATAAAAAACAAGTGGTAAAGCTACCGCACCAGTCACAACAATGGTCGTAGAAACCCTAATGTTAGAAAGGTTAGTGAACAGAGGGTTATTTAATGGAAATTGTCTATCATTTTGTTTTCTTGTATAATATATAATACTGCAGTCTTATATTATCATTACAATCGGCGCTTAAAAACGTATTCACCCTAGGAAGTGCGAAATCGCTTCGTAGTTTTCACAACTATACGTCTGTATGAACATAGTAATTAATTTTCTGCAGTTTAGATATCTTAATAGTTAATTTGTATGGTGCCAGTGAGCAACATTTGATATTTCTTCCCCAGAATTATTGAATGTGCGAATCCCACCGACATTACTGCTGTACACAGTCATTCAATAATTTATTCTTTGTCAGTTCCCTACATTTCACTGATTCTGAGAAAACGGGTGAAAGTTTCATAAAACAGTTCATTTTAAGACGTGATAATTAGTAACTTACATCATTTTTACGGTGTGTAATGTATCTAATAGCAGATTTAACTAACTCGTGTCGTTAAAGTTCTCTCTGAGAGTAGTTATCGTTTTACGTGTTCGAGGCTTTAGTTTTAAAGATTTAATCTCACTGTAAATGGTAAATGATGTACATTTGGGAGGCCGGTAACCAATATTTCATTGTGGTTTTTAAGTTCATTTTTCTTGCCAGTCTCACACAGAAATAAGGTTAGTGATTTTTGTGTAGGCACTTATCGTATTAACCACACAACTGTTTTACTCCTTACCCTGATGCACTCCATCTTGGTTAGCTTCTGGGATTTGGAACAGTATGATTGTATAGTTTCTTGTAATATGTCAAAAATGAAAACATTGTACATAACTTTTGTTTGAAATGATTCACAGTAAAATATATACATAACTCTGTGCAGTGGAAGCGTGCTGGGCCCATAACTCTGTGCAATGGTGGCAAAACGGTTAGGACTCTCATCGACCATGCACATGGCCCGGGTTTCGATCCCCTGCTGACGTACACCTGATATCAGTGATTGGTCTGCCGAATTTGAGCTATCGATATCACACTCTGAAAATTCCATAGTTGTATCAAAAATACGTCGTGGAATCAAGCTGTATTTAAAAATATATAATAAAGTGTACTGCTTTCCTCTTCTTCGCACTTCATTCTAAGTTTGTTGTGTTCTTTGGATTTTGCAGGAACCTCTAATCCTTGTGCCTTGAAACATAGCCACTGTCATCTGAAAGGTGAGTCCTATAATTATTCCCTAGGATTCTATATGGAACATAGGGCTTTGAACAACACATCGCCACATCGTCCCATTTTCTGCTGTCCTCCTTAGATAAGTCGATGTTTGCCCGTAATCTCTCATCTCTCGCCAGCAATATCTCCTCCAAGCCACCCTAGGACGACCTCCTGGCTGCTTCCTATTAGGATTCCACTCGAGCGGTTGCCTTCATTACGCGTGATGCCGTCTGTTAGTCACCCCGGCAAATGCCCATTCCAACTTAATTTCCTCCCACGTAATTGCTGATACTCTTTGTTTGATCTTCAAAATAAAGCGAAGCAGGTGTTGATAACATTCTGCGACCTGCTGGAAATGACTTTCATGATGTACTAGTTAAGTTTCTGATCTATATAGTACTGACTGACTTAACATTGGCGTTTTCTCTATGCTGACTTCAGATTTCCGAAATGATTTCAGAATAATGAAGGCATAACTTATCAAGCCCATTTTGGTTTTAACATCTTCATTCGTTCCTCCTGTAGTTGCAACGATGCTTCTTAGATAGGTGGAGGAAATCAACTCCTTCAAATTTCTCCAGTTGGCTGTGATTGGTGCCAGTTGTTGTTTCTGTTTGTTGGTTATCTCCGTCATTCCCTATTCCCTATGTTCACCTGGAGTCCTGTCTTCGCCCTCAGCTTCTTCAGCTAGTTTGTTGCTTTTCGCCCGCAGGTCTTCTAATTTGTGTGACATCAGACATGTATCATCCGGGACATCCAGATCTTCTAGAGGCTTCTTATCGGTGGTCCAGCGCATTCCTGTCTTCTCGTTCCCAACTCAAAGTCTTCCGCATTTTCCAGTCCACCACGATTAGGAATGTCATCCGTGATGATAGTCAGCCTTGTGTTACTTCTGTGCTCACTTCAAGGCAAGGCTTCACTAACGTTTCCATTGTGGATCACATGTCATGTGGCCCTGTCATACAGCCATTGAGCAACTTCGGTAAAGATTCGGGCACTGCGCGCCACAGTGTTGGAGTAGTTTCCAAATCATATCTGCGTCAACGCTGTCGAAGGCCGCAATCTGATAATAATATATATTTATTCATGTCTATGTGGGAGCACATCAACTGTAGGGTAATCGGTGAATGTTGTTTAAGTTATGATGAATTTACACGGCTTTTATTCTTTTCGGCAGTCTGTTATCTATTCATTCAATCGAGCATATTAATAGGTATAGGATTATTGCCCTTAGCATTAAAAAAATCAAATTATGTGTAGGATGTATCACAAGTGCTTGGGAAAAAGATAGAGTCTGAAGTCAGTTGTCCCACATAACTTTGTTGTGTACTGCATCAAAATTTATTCCGAATTATACATACATATAGAGAGATTCTTCTTCTCGTATTTAACTTGCGAATATACTTCCTATAATGTATTATTCAGAATTGCATTTTATACCATTTCTCAGCTGTGCAGAATATTCTTCTCTTCCTGAAATAGCGTTCAATCATGCGAGGTTGTAGCACTCACCTATATATTTGCTGTTCACTGGTTGACCATAACTATCAGCAGGAAACAGAACGAAGTTTGGGTTATCGCTCAACCTTGATGGTGACCTCAGAAACGGTTTACAATTTAACATTTATAAGAACCTGTTCTAGTTGCTTGTAGAATAATTGAACAACTGAAACTTTTGAAAAAGTATTAATCTATGATACTTCAGGATTGTAATTTACAACATTACTGATCGTGCCTGTAAAAATGCCATGCGTTTCTTGTAAACTTACCCGTTTATTCGAGATATAAATTATTATTATCCATATGGTGTATTAATTTAAAATGAGCAATATATACGTATCATATTCTCAGCACTATGATCGTAGTGTAACATGAGAAGTGCACTGTATCCCATGCAGACGAGTATTGGCTATAGCTATCAGATCTGTTTTTTTGCACCAAAGTCAGCCATTGCTGTTCTGTACGAGTAAGCAGACCAAGAAGTAGAAAACTATTTGTAAACCAGTTGCATCTTTATTTTAGGTCATGCATACTGCTCGTGTAGGATGTTATAAAAAGTTCAGATATGGTGACATGGCAGTTTTTGATGATGTTGAGTTATTATGAGACACCAGCTCGAAAGATGGTGTGGTTTATACAAGTAAGTAGCTTCAAGTTCTGATTAACTTTGGAGGTGAAATATCGTTAGATACTTTCTATCCTCAGCTTGTCACGTATACAAGTGCTGCTAATAATAAATGGACAGTATTCTAGTAGTTGCATTACATATGTTTTATATAGAATTAGCTTGGCCTAATTTTCGTGAAAGTTCCTGAGTATGCATCTTAAAGGCATCCTTGGCTTTCGAGTCTGTGATGCCACTTGCTCAGAGAATGTTACGTCATTAGAGTACCTCAGGCCTGAGTCACTGAAAACAATAATGACTGCACAGATCTAAATTATAAAAGTAAATTATAAAAAATGGCTTTGCTCCTAACATCTACAAGCCTGCTGAGCTTCTCGTCAAGATGCTAAACCATGGGCCATACACAAATTCGCCAGACATCCTACAGGTCACCATATCCAACAGGTTCTAATCCTCCAAGCCGCTTCTCTCTGAAATGTCACTTACATACTCCTAGACAATCCTTTTATCTAACTACTATAATATTGTATTTTATCTCAACTCCCTAGGCCTTTAATAAGTCTAAAATTTACTCTTTTCATTCATATTTTTGCTCGCATAAAGTCTGGTCGCTCTTATGTAAGCATAACATAACAACAATACCTCTGTTTGAGAATAACTCTATTTTTATCAAAAACGTCATAGTTTTTCATGATACGACCAATATGGTTAGCATCATACATTGCAAATGTGTACTATCATTTCAAGTACTACATAGCTTCTTCTTGTATTTATTTTGCAAATATACTTCCAATAATGTATTATTCAGAATTGCATTTTATACCATTTCTCAGCTGCGCAGAATATTCTTCTATTCCTGAAATAGCGTTCATGCACGCGGGGGCATAGAACTCACTCAAACATATGTTGTTCATCAATTGGCCATAACTATCATTGAGAAATGGAACGAAGTTTGGGTTGTCGCTCAACTTCCATGGTGACCTTAGTGAAAGATTTACAATTTAACATTTATAAGAATCTGTTCTGAATGCTTGCACTAT